CTTTTGAGATATCTATGAGGGCTTAGATATAAATGTGACAGATGCACTTGACTCCCCTTAACCAAACCAGCAACACTTTGGCACAGGCCCCAAAGGAGGTAAAGGCCTGAGTCACAGTTGGGCCGAGAACTCCTCTAGAAAACCCATGAAGGAGCAGACCAATGGAGTGAACACCGATAACTTGTGGTTACGAGGAATCTCGTGCATACCTCTCCCATTGTATGCAATTTGACTATGAGCCAACCACTTTATCCCATAAACAGGACAGCTTAAGTGAACCCCCCTTGAGCTCTCCTGCTAGGCAGCATGGCTGCACAGTGACGATCTCCCCTTGAGCTGGGATGCCTCTCAAGGGTGCTCCTCAAAGCAATGAGATCTTTGACCAACAACAGATCACTGGATGAGCCCTATTTGAATTCTCCCTGGACAGCAACTGGACTGCACACCAAGCAGCTCTCCCCATCAGCAGGGACACGTCTCAATGTTAACAGATATTAGTTGTTTAGCTTAAATAAATTTTAAATAGAATGAATCACTTAGAGTTATAATATTGTGTGATTTAGCATGCTGTTTGCTTAGCTTTAGTTATCCAGCACAAGGAGCTAGGTCTGCTGAAGCCACAAGCTGTAAATTTCCACTACTGGACTCAACCATCATGTGAGGGGCAGGTGAATCCTCTGTAAGGGTGTAATTGCCCAGGGATTTCTTTGTTCGGGTTTGGAGGGGAGGGCCTCTCCAGAGACACAAGCTGACCCTGCTGCTGTACCACTCTATTAAATTATGTATTTTTATATAACGCCTGAGAGTCTACTTCGGGAAACCCAGGGTTCAAACTGTAGCACCAGATGCCCAGACAGAAGGTAAGTAAAATGAGAATAAGCATGATGAAACTTTGAAATCTTAGCTAAGTGATAGAGAGAATCGGGTGTGCACATATAATCCCTTAGCCATAAACCAAGTCTGGGACTAGAAGTGGATCCAGCCACACCTGGACCCCTCCCTGAGGAGTTTAGAAAGCAAGGGGGCCCATTCTGAACCTTTTGACTCAATGGGAGAGTCTCCCCTACCTTTCTGCACCTCCAGTCCCTGTGTGAATCATTCCATATCAATTCTAACCTGATTCTCCCTCTGTATGTTTCTTCCATGAAGTAATAGAGTGAACCTTGCCATCTAACTCTGTTAGTCACACTTCTATCATAAAACACTCACCCGTGACAAAAAGACATAAATTAAGACATTTTGCACCAAGTTTTCTAACTGGAAGGATGATTCAACTGCCAAGATCCGGGAACACAAGGCTGTACTGATAAAGACAATGTTGAAATATTCAAGGCTGAAGAAAATAATTAGCCAGAGGATTACTGCAGCATTTAATAGGAAAAAACATTTGCAGACTACGTTCCATGGAAGACAGCACTCCCTTCCACTGCCATCCATCAAGAGGAAACATGATTCCTCCTCAGCTGGGAGTGCCTTTTTTCATGTCAATGAAGTTATAGCTATATCTGCTATGGACAACACCCTAAAAAAGGAGTAGACCTTTTTGAGGGAACAGGCAATTACAGATTTACAGATTACAGCAATTTAAAAAGCATAAATGCAAGATTAAAGGAACTGTCTTGCATGTTCTAGAAAGGAAAAGATAGGGCCAGGAAGAACGTAAAAGACATCTACGAGGAGAACCATCAATTTTCAGTTTGCAAAGAAGTAATCACTAATTTTCAGCAAGAAAATCTGAATGATATATGAGACAACCTATCTAGATGCATAGCTAAGCATAGGAAAAGGCATCTGAGGAACCAGCTTTCACCTACATCTATGAAGGATGCATTAGATCTTGTTTGTAAAGCTGAAAGGAATTACTGGAACAGAGAGAAGGAACTAAAAGTGGTTTTAAGCCTATATTAAGAAAATCAGAAAAGTAATTAAACATCTCAAGTAGAGCACATTCTCTCTTGCCACTCTTCATTTTTTTTGCCTCTGGGGAGGCAGCAGCAGGAGGTGACTGAGTCCCAATGTTTGCGTCCTTTTGGCACATTTCTCAGAGGGCAAGAAGCAGGGCCCCTCGTGTCTTTAGTACAGCATCAGAAGCTACTGACACCTCGTGGTACCACTGAACAGGCCAAGAGCTGTTCTTCCGCCTTGCTGCTTTGGCCTCAAAGTTCCCATCCAGCTTTTCAGGTTTCTTTTTCAATTTTCTTACCCAGGCCCCTTGTATTAAGGCTAGCGTATGGCATTAGCCTGGCCTTACAGAGGTAAAACTGAAGAGGATTTCATCAATAGAATGTCCCTTGCTTGACCCGTCAGTTTAGGGAGGGACTACAGCCCTTCCCACTCTTACACAGGCAAGTCAGTCAACACTTATGGTGGCAGTATTATTACTTTTTTTTCCCCTCCTGAAGTTATCCACCTGACCTCTATTTTATCAATACACTGATTCTTGAAAAACAGAGTGCAGAAAATCCAGATAGTTTAGGAGACATTACATATACCTCAAACATTTAGTAGTCATGGCAATGTTTGAGAGAACTAAGTACCACATTAAGACATCTGGAAATCAAAACATGCGGAGCTTCTTCCAAATTAGTACCTGGGACAATAAAGCTGTAAAAGACACAGTTGTTTCCAAAGGAAAAGAGAAGTTTGTTTATGAAAGACCCTAGGAAAGATGCAGAGGGCATGTCAAGGCAGAGAACCCCTTCAGCTTCTCTTAAAACTCCTATTATCCACACAAAGGAAGACTAGCACAGCAATTCAGAGCTGTGGTTATAATGAAGACTTCAGGTGGCTTGGATCCCAGCTGGGTTCTTCTCTTTGGGGAAAATGAACTTAACCTTCTTGAGTCCTCTTCTCACAACTCCACTTTTTGAGGCATTCCCCACCATCTTTCTCTTCCCTCACTGCTCTGTTCTCAACAACTGTGTGAGATGCTGCCAGTGTTCCCATCATTTTGTGTAGGAAAATATGCATCCTGGAGCTTTGTCACACACAGGTACTTTCACATGAAGCTACCTGTACAACAGGCCTTCACCTTTGCAACCAACAACTTCTTACCACCAGCTGTGGAAGAGACCGGAGGCCAGAAAAGTCATCTTTGTGTTTGGTAACTCAAAAGAAATGCACATAGAATATCAGAAAATCTCACTTCTTCAGAGTAAACACCAGAAGGTCTACCTCCAGCAGGGGATACTGTAAGTAGCCCACTCAAGACAGAAGAGAAGGGATGGCATGACCAGACCCTGTGGCAGATCCTATCAAGAGACCAGGATAACAGACAAGAGCATGGAGACCCTATTTGCATGGCCACTCCAGTATGAATCTTATTAAATATGATATGATACAGCCAAGAGGACATGGGTTAGAGAACAAGATTTCCATCAAAATCCAAGAATCAAATAATTTAAGGAGTTACAAAAACAATCCTACAATTTTATTGCTTTAAAATCCATTGTTTAAAAGGTTTGTGGCAGGGGCAACTTCAAGAGGTTAAAAGAGTAATAATAGATTTATCTATTCAGATTGCGGAAAAGGTACAAATTTAAGACACAAGCACTGTAAGATGTCTGCCTTTAGTCTTATTTCCTCTCCGTTTAATTTTGTAGAAGAAATCTTAACTTTTTAATTTGATGAAAGATTAAATATTCATTGGCATTCAAAACCAAAAGAATGAAGACAAGAGTAGTCCAGGGAAACTGTTAAGGCATACAAATGTTTTTTTTCCTCTTAAGCTCCTGTAAAGTAGCTTCGAAAATAGTCTGATACTATTCTGGATAGCAACATAACCAACACTGGCATATACACCAACAAAACTGTATTTCTGTGAAACTCAAGGACTTAAACAATTAGTTTTCCACAATAGCCTAATGTTATGAAAAAATATTTTCCAATTGATAAAGCAGGGCAGTTTACTTTGATGAAAAAGTACACAATTTTGACATGTTCTCTTACACAAAAAAATTGAAAGATTTAACAAAAGCAGTTTCACTGTATAGGGTGCATTTATTGCTGTTCTACATTAAACTTCAGGGAAAACCACATTATTTAACAAGCTAGTTAAATATACAGAATGACTCAGAACCCAGTTTTACTCTGGTATCACGTTATTTATTTGACTTACAAAGTAATTCCCAATATTACTTGAAATTTTTAGTGCAAATAATTAAATTTGTCTCAGAAGACATCAACAATAACAGTATTTTGAGTGCCACTGTGTTCAACTCACACAGTGAGTTCCTGAAAAATCCTTTGTGGCTTTTGCCCCGTGGTACTAGCTAGAAGTTTTTGAAGATTATACCAGAACTCACGACACAGAATTGGGTGTAATCCCTTGGAGCTGTGTCAGCCCCTATTTTGTGAATACAATCAGTTATACCCTACTAGTTTAGTTTCAGCAAAAGTTCAAGCTGGCCCTACTTAAAGGAAACAGAAGTTTCCAAAGAAAGCAACATTTTCTGACAGCCCTGATAAGAGCTAAAGAATAAGGCCATTTCAACTTGGTCCATTTCTTTTGTAATATAGGTGGTAAAGGTGCACAATTATGTACCCTGAAACAACTCTCACCAGAAAGCAGACTGCTTTCTAACAGGCTCTTTGTGATGGGAAATTTATTCCTGGTGTTAGAACTAAAGGAGGAAGCTATTCCATTATGCACATTTACTATGTGACTAGCCACTACAGCTGAACAGCCATAGGCAGAATCGATGGTTAAGCAGCAGCACAAAAATTGTGATAACAACTGAACAAGTTAGGCACAGTACTGCTGCTTAACATGCCAAGTCTCTTCTCTAAAGCAAACATTATTCTCAAGTTAAGTACAAATCCTTCTAAGTTGCTTTTAAATATCACACACACTATTTATTTACTTTTGTTCTTCCTCTAATAGAAATAATTTATATTGTGCTTCTCACGGCATATCTGTGTCACACTACTATATATTCTTCCTCTGCTGATTACTCAGTTTTGATGGGCAACTATAAAATAAGTTTCTGGAGCACCTGGTATTAGAATAACCAAACAGCTTTAATAAAAAGTAATGCTGCCATTAAAAAGGCAGAGAATAAAAAAAAAAAAATTAAAGCTCTTTATTAACTTATCACTAAAATCTACAATATTCCACAATGGTAACATACTCACAGCAACATTATGCTGTTAAGAGAACAGTACAACATTTGTCAGGATCTGTTTATTATCCATATATGCAATTTATTAGCCAGTTGATCTACAAGGTATTATTTACCACAGGCAAACTAAATACTGTGCTTTTAAGAAACCTGCATAGAAATTACTTGATGTTTCTTTTTTTTTTTTTTTGGACATATTTACAAAAAGGATTCTATGTGTGTTAGCAATAAATAATCCCAATAATCAAAATGTCAGTGCTCATGCACACACCGACAAGATGGTTGCATGCTTTAAAAATATTATTTACAGTACAGTCTCCTTCATAGCCCTCTCCCTAATAATAGCAGAAAGTGCATTTTCCTCCATATTCTTTCTCCTTTCCTTTCCTTTTCTTTTCGTTTAGTCTTGCTTCTGAGGAATACAACCTTCCATCTCAACAACTTCTGGCCAGCCTTCATACTTGTTTGTGTCCTTGTTGTTCTTTATATGCTATAAATAGAAAACATCAATCTACTGTTAATGTAAAGTCATTTTCATCCTGTTGCTTTAACTCACAGCTTTTCAGACATTTTATTTACTTATTTTCAGGCCACAGACAAGGAGAAGACATCACTATTAGCTTCTTGTACTAATAATCTTGTTATCAGATATAACAATTTCTCAGTATACACCATTTAATGTAACTTGCTCAGACAAGTGTATGCTAAGAACAGTTAAGCCATACTGGGAAAACACTTTCTAAATGTATTATGGATGTTTATTTAGAAAACAAGAAAAAGACCAACTGCATTAAAACATGAACCACTAGAAAAAAATAAATAAGGATTCTAAATTTACAAGGCATTGAAAATGAATAGTCAGAATTTTAAGAACATTATTTAATGTTGAATGTTTGGTTGGATTTTTCTGTAAATTAATGGTTTATTTATCCACCAAGCAACTGTCTGCAGTCTTGCCAATGCTCCTGCACTAGTTCCCACTCCCTCGCAAAGCTGGCAAAAGAGAACATACCTGCCTTACTCTCCTAGTACAAAGCTACTTTTACTGGTAACTAAAGGCAACAATGACACATGTTGAATTTTAACAGCTAAAGTATGGAAACATATTCTATTTCACTAATTTTGCTATGGCAGCAACAATTTTTGTGAGAAAAGCAAAGTGAACAGCTGGGAATACCAACACCTTAACTACCAATATCTGTCAGAGGTCTACCATTGTTAGTGCCTCTAAAATACAAGCATTAGGCAGTAAGTTTTTAATTCTTCAGTTTAATTTGATTCATTAAAAAGATAAATAATCTAGTTACTGGGATACTAAGATCTACCCATATAAGATTTTTTTCTTATTTGTGAATCACAACAGAATCTTTTTTGTACATTTAAAAGGAGGAGGCTAGTCAAGAAATAAATTTGAAAATAACACTGTGTGTTACTACAGCAAAAGGTGCCCATCTCGAACAAGTGCATGGTATTTATAAAACATGATAAGCCTTCAGTAATGCAAGCTGTTAAGTTCCAGTAAGTTATAGAATCACAGACCTGTTCAAACGGACTTTTAGTCTTAATTCCTTTTCCACCGCAGAAGACCCAGTTGTCTCTAAAGCCAAGGTTAGTAATAGATGTGCTTCCCAATTCAGCGATCAGTTTCCGTGCTTCCTCGTTAAGCCTTGAGCAAAACAGAGAAGTTCAGTATGTGAATAAAATACATCCTCGGAGCTTTCATTGTTCAATGAACCATTAAGCTTTAATCTGATTAAATATAGTTTAAATCAGTCAACATTGGGCGAGATCTATCTTTCAAAATCAGATAAGGCTAGTTCTGAAATCACCTGATCTAATCTGTTCTTTAATGTTACCATCTCAAGGAATCCGCATACAAACCTATCAGTACACCAACAAAAGCCAAGAACTCTCTCTTTTAAGAATTTATACATACATTTCAATTCATGTTAGCAATTCTCCAAGCAACTAAAAAAAGTCAGCCTTTAAAGTAAACATTGTTTGCAGGCTCAAGCTCAAGTCTAGATAAAGTAAAAGCAATTTTAGATTAGAAGAATGGCCTAAATATACAAAAGAAGTTCTTGTCTGCTTAGGTAAATTAATTCAAAATTCAGAATGCTGCCCCACAGCACAGTCCAGTGCCTGCAGGTCCAAGTAGGATAATTTTAGTATGGAAGAGAAAACAATTTTGTATGATAATAAGTTATAATGCCAAAAACCAGCTCTTTATTTCTTCCTTTCAATTGCTATATTTGCCCAATTAACTAAACAACACATGTAATTTCTGATTATTACTACTTACCGAGATGTGGTTGTATGACTCCTTTTAGCTAAAATTATGAAAGTGATTAAATACTTTGGAGGTTATCTGACAACCCATTCTCCAAGTTTCTAGAGCATTAGGGCAGCTTATATATATATAAAAAAAAATATTTTATCTTTTAAACATGTCAGTTCTTCACAATTCTAATTGTTTTATAGAACTAGAATTTATGATTGCCATCAACCACCAGTGGTAAAGTTTTGGCTAATTATGTAATATCACTATCAAACAGCAGTTCCTGGCTGTCAGCATGGATGGGCCAAATTCACCACCTTGTTTAGCTGATACCGTATCTACACACAAGCTTTCAAAAACATCATCTGTGACATGATTATTGAACAAACTAACTGTATTTATTACCTAAAAAAGAAGAAAGGAAAAAGAGCAAGGAGAAGAAAAGTAACAAAACAAATAAAATAGCAGACAAGCGAAGAGATCCAGCCTTGTTAAAAAAGAACATTAAATTGCTTTATTCTCCTAAAAGCAGTGAATGTACAGACACTTAACTATTTACTGCAAATATTGCACACTGCAAAGTCAGGACTCTGTCACAGGAAAGCTGCTCCTGTATCAAAAACACAGACAAGTTGTGGATAACAAGTTGAACAAAAACAGAAAAAAAGAATATACAGAACACATAAAAAAACAGAGGAAAAAGGAAAAAAAAAAATCTTAATTTTCACTATGAAAAGCAATTCTTTGAACAGGATGACTTCTGAGAGGAGTACATTAAAATACAAATTCTACAGTAATTTTTAGTATCTATTAAAGCTGACCAAAGTTAGAAATGTTGGAAAATCAATAAGGCCTTCTACAGACAGCTGGCAACAGCCTCCCAGTCACAGGCCCTGGTTCTCACATAGTATCTATTAAAGCTGACCAAAGTTAGAAAGGTTGGAAAATCAAAAAGGCCTTCTACAGACAGCTGGCAACTGCCTCCCAGTCACAGGCCCTGGTTCTCACGGGGGATTTTAACTATCCAGACATTTTCTGGAATGCCTACACAGCCAGCCATTCACAGTCCAGGAGGTTCCTCCAGTGCACTGAAGATAATTTCTTGATGCAGCTGGTGGATGAGCCAACTAGGAGAGGAGCACTGCTGGATCTTATACTCACTAATAAGGAGAGTCTGGTTGAAGCAGTGAAGGTTGAGGGCAGCCTTGGCTGCAGTGACCATGAGATGGTGGAGTTCAGGATCTTGTGTGGCAGGAACAGAATACCAAGCAGGATCACAACCCTGGATTTCAGCAGGGGCAACTTCGGCCTTTTCAAGTAATTGCTGGGGGAAATCC